TTTAATAAAATTGACATTGTATGTCATTTTTATTTTTAATAAAAAAAAATGACACTTAACTTTAAAAGTGACAGTGGATCACATTTTCAATGTCACTTTTTTTTTTTTACGTAATCAGCATGTGGATTGGTCTGAACATGGTAATTATTTTAAGAACATGATTACTGGTGTTGCACAAATAAATAGTGTTATTTTGATGTTTGTCACTTTTTCTAGTTTTCACTTTTTTTGAGTTTGTGTCACTTTTTAAAAAAAGTGACATTTTATATATATAAAAAAAAGTGACATTGTGTCACTTTTTCATTTACACAGTATTTTTTACTTTCTAAAAACTTTTCGTATGATTTTTCAAAACACCCCAAATTTTAAGGGTATTTTTGTAAGTACCCCTATTTTGGTATTCATTCCTAGTGTACCTAAAAGTCCAGTAAAACAGTTCTAATGTAGTTATCGAAATTTTGCATAATAAAGTCTTATTTGAATTGGACTTAACTTATAGTAAGGATAAAATGGATTCTATTAGCTTATTTTCGCAAAAAAAAAAAAATCAGTCTTTATATCAAACTTAGTGGGATATTTTTTATCCAAAACAACTCCTAGTCGAGTGTTTATTGGATTGAAATAAGGGAAGATTTTGTAACCAAGAGATTTAGTTTTATCAATTTCAAATTTGAGATGTTATTTTTAAAATTTCAAAATTTAGATTTTTTTTAAGTTTTTATTTATAAATAAATAAATAAATTATATATTTTATTAATTAAATATATTAAAGTCACAATTTCATATAATTTGGTCACAAATTCCATATAATTAGTCACATATTATTAATCGATCACAAATCACAATTTTCATGTCACAAATTATTTTACGATCACAATTCAAAAATTCTGAAGGTCACAATTTGTTAATCGGTCACAAATCAAAAATTTGTACGTCAAAATTTATCATCGATCACAAATTTATCAAATTAATAATCACATATTATTTATTGGTCACAAATCACAAATTTTATAAGTCACAAAATTTTTTTACGGTCACAAACATCAAATTAATTGATCACAAATTATATTTATGTCACAATTTATCAAATTATTGATCACAAATTAATAAATTTTTAAATCATACAATATGTATTGGTCACAATTTATTTATTTCATTGGTCACATATTATTTATTGGTCACACGCCAACTAATTTATTGGTCACAATCAACCAAATCATTTGTGACCATCGCCACACCGTTGCAACAACCCAAACCACCGTCGTCAGAACCACCAAAAGATCGTCACAATCGCCGTCGCCACAGCCACCAACAACAAATCAGATCAAAAACCGACAACGCTCCACAACTGCCATCACCTCGCAAACCATCATCTAAAATATCATTACCACCACGACCACCACTACCCACCCACAACCATCGTTTCACTAGCACCACCACTAAAACCATAGGACCTCCACCACCACCCCCATCCTACAACCCAAAAAAATCCCCAACCTTGCCATCATCGCCGCCATCGACCACCACACCATCACCCAACCACCATTAAAACCATAGATCCACCACCATCCAACCACCATTATAGATCCACCACCACCTAACCACCGCACCCAACCCTAACCACCGCAGAGACGAACAAGTCGTGGGGAAGCTTGTATGAGTTCTAATCAGGTTTCCAAATGCCATAAGCTTCTTCAAGTGAAACACTGAAAGCTTCCTAATGTTAGTCGACAGACTCTTCTGCTTGTCTTTAACAAATTTCTAAATCGCATATTGACTGGATCCAATTCTCTCCTTCGGCGACGATGGCCTTGCAAGGGGAAGAAGTGAGAGAGGCGAGAGACAGAGAGGAGGGGAAGGAGACGACGAGGAGGAGAGAGTGAAGGAGAGAGATGTGGTAAATGATTTGATATTTTTAGGGTTTGAGTAATTATAATTTAAATTAAGATGAATTAATATCTAACATTTAAAATAATAAACATAATATCTGATATTTGAAATCAATCTTAAAAAAATCTGAGTCAATGTAATTTCCACTTGAAATAATTCTCTTAATAAAATAGTTAACATACTTGTATCTCAAACCATGCTTGGCCATTTTTGGAAGTTAATTATTAAAAAGAAGTTACTTTGATGCACATGAGCTAGAGAATCTTAAGATTGCTTTATTCCCGTTTCACTTTTAAAAGGAAACCTAAATATTTTAACTGACGGCGTCTGAAGTTAACAAGGGAAAGAAGTTGTCCTCAGCNACCACCTAACCACCGCACCCAACCCCAACCACCGCAGAGACGAACAAGCCATGGGGAAGCTTGTATGAGTTCTAATCAGGTTTCCAAACGCCATAAGCTTCTTCAAGTGAAACACTGAAAGCTTCCTAATGTTAGTCGACAGACTATTCTGCTTATCTTTAACAAATTTCTGAATCGCATATTGACTGGATCCAGTTCTCTCCTTTGGCGACGATGGCCTTGCAAGGGGAAGAAGTGAGAGAGGCGAGAGACAGAGAGAAGGGGAAGGAGACGAGGAGGAGGAGGAGAGAGTGAAGGAGAGAGATGTGGTAAATGATTTGATATTTTTAGGGTTTGAGTAATAATTTAAATTAAGATGAATTAATATCTAACATTTAAAATAATAAACATAATACCTGATATTTGAAATCAAATCTTAAAAAAATCTGAGTCAATGTAATTTCCACTTGAAATAATTCTCTTAATAAAATAGTTAACATACTTGTATCTCAAACCATGCTTGGGCAGCTTGGCCATTTTTAGAAGTTAATTATTAAAAAGAAGTTACTTTGATGCACATGAGCTAGAGAATCTTAAGATTGCTTTATTCCCGTTTCACTTTTAAAAGGAAACCTAAATATTTTAACTGACGGCGTCTGAAGTTAACAAGGGAAAGAAGTTGTTCTCAGCTAATGGGATGACGTCTATTAACTGTTTAAAGCGGAGAAATAAATAAAAGTGAACAAATTTACCATTAATTGGGATCCTTCACGTATGGGCGGAGTCTGGAATATTATTCAGTGCGTGAGTGCGGGCACAATTCTTTTGATCTGTTCCTATCCTTTATATGCTATAACAATTCTTTCTCGATTATTGTCTTTATGACAAATATAGTCGTGCTCACTTTGATTCTCCACTATTTTAGAGTCACAACTTTGCCCGTAGATATCATGTCACCTCAGTGGCCATATGTATTGCCCTTGAAGATAAAACTTTGCAAGTTTGTCATGTGGTATAATTTTTTATTATTGAGTTTTTTTATTACGTGAATCACTTGTAGGTTCTCCATCTTGACTTAATTTATCTATTCGTAATCAAGCAAACTTTATATAAGTTTCAGAATCTCCCTTTTTGTACATGAACTCCAAAAGCTAAAAATTTTGTCTATGATTGCTATGCTCTAATATCAAATTGTTGAATTTAAATATTAAAGAAACAATTAAATTAATGAACATTTGTGTAATATTTTGTTAAAAAACACACTTTCTCTCACCAAACACCAATACATGTCACCTTACTATCTACAATACTATCACTCCACTTTGCTGCAACTTCAATCTCTATGTATAACACCGGCCAACCACTTTCTCTAAATCTATCAATTCTCTATTTCTCTATTCTCACACACCACTAAACCTCATAACTCTCAATTTTCACACACCACATGTATGCGTGCACTACCTCTCTCCTTTCTCTCACGCTACATTTAAATACACTCATAAGATATATATACTTAGCAAAGTTGGTGAGTTGGGCTTTCTAAGTTCCAGATGAATCTGTCAAGGACGATGGAGATAAATTAATCAAAAATAGTGGTAATGAAGTAAATAAATACTAGCACCAACACCTTCAAGATTCTTCTTCAATGTCGATGATTTCTTCATTTCTATCAATTGTTGCTTTCCAGTATGTGGGCACCGAGAATTTAAAGGAAATGTGCCAAAGTTCAATGCCGGCACGTGCCTGCATTGGACCATTCATGGCGTCTCCCCTTCCGTCACGTAATTTATAGATATAACAATAAAAGCAGCTTTAAAATAGTATTTTTTTTTTACTTCGAAACTCGTCATTCATTCAATCAAGAAATTTTCATTGGTGCAAAAAAAGGCAAAAAAAAAAAAAAAAATGAGAGAAGGGCCTCTCTTGGCGTGATGAACTTGAGCTATGTTCTCTCTATCAACGATTCTAAATTTGATAGTTGAGTTGGGTCATGCCACATTCGTGCAATTCTCAACATATGTGCTATCAATTTGTTTTGGCTATCTAGATTGTGAGCTAAGAAATCAAGTTCGTTGCTAGTTTATATTATTATTAATATGTTATACTATACAATATTGAATATGATTAAAGAAGAAAAATAAATTAAAAATGTCGTTATGCAGGTGATCTAATGTTGTATATGAAACTTGTACTGAAGTTTTTATCTTACAAACTCATTAGGTTGGATTTGAACATGGGTTTTCAGCTTAAAAGTTGATAGTAAGCCAATTGTTTTTATTTTTTATTTCTAGAGTTACCACTCTTATCTATGAAGTAGAATAAAAGTCGCACACATTCCATCAGTAAAGTCGTGCTTCATCTTTTATCATTTGTGTACCCCTCTCGATTCTCAAATGAGAAATCTACAGAAGAAGATGAGGGGAAAAAAAAAATTCTGTAGAGGGTTTTAGCCGATGAACCCTAAATTCAGCACTTCAGGTCAGTCTATTCTTATATAGATATATAGATAATACGCTCTGTGATGTCGGCTTTGTTGTGTTACATTATTCCATTTTTCCAGTGATTCCTCGTAAGATATGAAAGTTATTATGGAACCCAAATTCCTGACTTCTTCGCATACAAATTTGCCATCAGCTGGCCCTTTACCATTTTTTTTCTCAGATAAATCATCTTTGCTTCGAAAACCCAAGTTCTGTTTAGAAAACCCTATTTCATTTCCCTCTGTAAAGACATCATTTTTGGGTCAAAAGTTGGTTTTTGAGCAAAACAATGTATCTTTGGTGAATTTGAGGAGAACCCATTTTCGTGTTCCGTTAATAAGTGCGGGTGCTGTGAAGAAGAGGAAGGAGCTTCCTTTTGATAATGTAATTCAAAGGGATAAGAAGATCAAGTTGGCTTTAAAAATTAGGAAGATTTTAGTTAGCCAGCCGAATAGGATTATGGCCCTTCGTGATTTGGGTAGATGGAGAAAAGAGTTGGGGCTGCAGAAAAAGCGGCGATTTATTGCTTTGTTGAGAAAATTTCCTTCTGTGTTTGAAATTGTGGAAGAAGGGGTATATTCACTTCAGTTTAAGTTAACTCCAGAGGCCGAGAAGCTTTATCTCGAGGAGTTGAAGGTTAGGAATGAAATGGAGGACTTGTTGGTTATCAAGCTAAGGAAATTGTTGATGATGTCGATTGAGAAGAGGATTCTTTTGGAGAAGATTGCCCATTTGAAGACTGATCTTGGACTTCCATTGGAGTTTCGTGACACTATTTGTCATCGATACCCAGAGTATTTCAAGGTTGTTGCAACACAACAAGGGCCAGCTTTGGAGTTGTCTCATTGGGACCCTGAGCTTGCTGTCTCTGCTGCAGAGCTCCAAGAAGAAAAGAAAAAGGAGAGAGAGACGGAGGAGAGAGATTTGATTTTTGATCGGTCCCGCAAGTTCAATAGAGTGAAGCTACCAAAGGGGCTTAGCATCTCGAAAGGCGAAATGAGAAGGATTTCTCAATTTAGAGATATGCCTTTTATATCGCCTTACTCTGATTTTTCAGAATTGAGGTCTGGTACGCCAGAGAAAGAAAAGCATGCTTTTGGTGTTGTTCACGAGATCTTGAGCCTCACCGTTGAGAAGAGAACACTTGTTGATCATTTAACCCATTTTCGAGAGGAATTCAGATTTTCTCAACAGCTTAGGGGAATGTTGATAAGGCATCCTGATATGTTCTATGTTTCTCTGAAGGGCGATAGGGACTCTGTTTTCCTGCGTGAAGCATATCACAATTCCCAGTTGATAGAGAAGGACAAGTTGTTGCTTATTAAGGAGAAGCTCCGCGCACTTGTTAATGTTCCACGATTCCCGGGGAGAAATGTTCCGAATGCTGATGCAGATGAAGCAGCAGATACAGAGGCGAAAGATGGAACTGGTGAACACAAGGAAGATGAATGGTCTGACATTGATAATTTAGCAAGCGATGGATTTGACGATGATGACGATGAAGAAAATGAGGATGATTGGAGTGATGAAGAAGATGATATGCCCCCAGACTTCAGTGATGACGATGCAACTGTGGATATAGAATTGAGCAAACCAGAGAAGCAAGCTAATGGCTCGAAGACAAGCAACGAGAAGGTTCTTGCTCCTGTGTTTCCAGATGGCCGTCCAAGAGAATGCTGGTGATTACATAGAGATTTACTTCAAAACACTTGGGGGGACTAAATTGACCAATGACCTTACAATTAATACTATTAGATTTTGACAAGATTGTAATGTGAAGAAGGGATGCATTTTCTTGCTCACAGCTCCTGTATTCCTTAGAAAATTTTTGTTGTGGATTTGTGTTGGACATGTAGGTTCAATATAGTACTTGGGAATAGGAATAGGAACAGGATTAGTACACGTTTCTTCTGATCTATACAAAACAGTGTTCTTGTTTCTTTATACAATTGTGTTGGAACTCTGCAGGTAGATTTGTGCATGAACTCGTATTTTTCTACTGTGGTGAATTTTGTTGTATTTTAGGTTTTGTAAAGCAGTGAAGGCTAGCTGATTGATGGGATCTCTTTACTGCAGTTTCACCGTGATTCTGAGGATGTTAACACATCATATAACGTGCTTATGCGTTTCAACCTGAGATTTATCCTGCTGAAAGAAGATTAACGATCAAGGGTCTAATTAATGAAGTCTCTGCATATTTTAGAGCAGACGACAGATAGATCATGGCTTTGTCTCTACAATCAAACTATTTTTGTACGGTTAGTCTTCTTGGAAGAGGTGGATACCTCAAAGAAACACCATATTCCCCTAACACAATGCCACTGGAGCCTGATGCCAAATTCTGGGGGTGTTCTTTTGAATCATGAGGAATACATTCCTAGAACCATATAATACAGCAAAAATTCAACATTTTCTTATTAAGGTTTTCTTCAATCTTGTGATATGTTCGCTTTTTGCCTCTTGTTTCCTTGTCATCTTATAAGACAACAAGAAATATCACAAAATTTCAGCCATCTACTCTAAAAAGCAACTCGATTCAAACTTTATCTTCAGGCAATTTTTTAGTGCAGACATGGCTTAATCATATCAACAATGTCAAGTTCTATCACGACATGATTGATATACTATCCTCTGACCCAACCGGGAATAAACCATCACGATAAACAGCGCCATAAAACTCCAGTCAAGTTAGAATCAACTCGTAGGCAAATGGGATAGGTAATGTATGGAAATATGATAATATATATAGGCATCAAACCATGGGAAAATATACAGGACGTGGACAGTGGTTTGTAACAATTCTCTTAAACAAGATTTGTTGTCTACACACCTGAAGAAACCAAGCAGTGAAATCCAGCCAACACTTTTCTTTATCACAGAACTAGTTATAGATATCAATCCACATTCTCACCCTCCATATAATAAGAAATTAGTATATAATACGAAATAAAAAAAACATTTACCGAGTTTGAGGATAGAATAGAAAGTTTGCTTAAATCCAATAGACCATCAATCCAATCGTTTATGCAAATTCAGAATCAGTTGATGAGTTTAATCAAATCCTGCATTGCCATTCGCTGTGAGACATTGGCCAAAGACTTTAGGTTGCAGTTGATCAGTGCATTCACAAAGTAGCATGTCTCTTCTTGAGTGTTTCCTTCAGGCAC